TTTTTTTTTTTTTTTGGTGTTGGGGATCAAACTCAGGTCCCTGTACTTGCAAGACAGTTGGTGGCACCACTGAACTAAATCCCAGGCCCGGGTTTTATCATTTTTGAAATTCGGGCTATTTCATAACAATGTAAGGTATCCCAAACCCACACTAGCACTTATTTTCTCAGCCCATAGATGCACATAATGACCTTGTCCATTCCTTGCCCTTTCTGCGGCATTGAACCCGGACCGCCTCCCTGAGCCACACTCTGGCAGCTTCCCTTGTTAACATAGGTGCCTTTTTAACCTGAGGAGTCATTTCCAGTCTCTAATGGAAACTCATCCTCATACAACTGAGCTCCAATTATTGGCCCAGCATTGTAGAGAAAGGAAGAATTCTGAAAAGCAGCACCTTTCTCAAGAGTGGAAGGCACATCAGATTACATTTCAGGTTTATTCCTTGAGGTAAATAACTCTGTCACCCATCTTAGTTTTCTCTTCTCTTTCTTAGTTTCATTGCTCTACAGGGTCTCTAAATGTTCTGTTCACACCAAGTAATTTTGCTACTTAACTCAGTTTTGGAAGTAGTTTTAAGTGAAATGACTGATACATGACATCTTTAGAGCCCAGGAAGTATTCAAATTTAGCCCGAAAATAAAGAAGTGTAAAAACTAAAAGACAAACAAACCCCACAGGTTCTAGTACAGTGAATACTAATAAGAAATCAGATTTTGTGAATAGCAAATTAATTATTTCAAAGTTTTTAGACCTGCCATTGTCGTACTCCATTCCAGTATGAATCTGATTTTCCATTGTAAAGTTAATACTGAAATTTGCATATTTATCTTTTTGCACATTTCTAGTTAGCAGTGCATATTCATCAGACTGCAGATGTTTAATGACATCAGGAAACCACACTGATAGTCCATAGTACCTGCAAAGACATAGAAACATGCATTTATAAAGATGCTGGGACATCAGGGTAAAGAGACAATGTTGACCTCTTTAGGGACAATGGTTCCAGCTCTGACTTCTCCCTCTAACATTGGAATGAATTATCACAGCAGCTGGAGGCATCCCATCTTCTACAAGATTACTCTGCAAAAATCAAGCTAGAGAGATGGCTTGGTTATCTGGAAAACCCCAACTATGCAACCTTTGAACCCTTCCTTTGAGCATAGATTGCAGCAAGAATCCCATTCTATACCCACGCATGGGGGTCTGAATGTGTCTCCCTAAAATTGGTTTTACACCCCAAAGTGATCATATTAAGAAGTGGAGTCTTTAGGCTGTAATTAAGTCATGTGGACAGAGTCCTTGTCAGTTAATGTAATAGCTGTGTGGGTCGATGATTTAGCTCAGTGGTTCTACCACCTGCCTTGCAACTGCAAGGACCCTAGTTTGATCTCTGGCACAAAAAATTCTATATCTATATCTATATCTAATCTATATCTGTATATAAATATAAAATATACAAAAATAATAATATAATATATATATCTAGATCTATCTAGATCTAGATCTAGATATAATATAATAGCTGTGCGGAGGAGCCTCTTCCTTCCCTCCTGCCCCTCTGTCTCTCCAATGTATTGAGACACAGAATTGATACCCACAGGGGACTCAGCAGGAAGGTGCGATTCTGGAAGCAAAGCCAGGCCTCTACAGACACTAAACCTCTCAGCACCTTGATCTTGGACTTCCCAGCCTTCAGGAGTTATAGAAATAAATTCATCCTTTCATTTCTCCTGTTTGCTTTTACTTTGATTCTTGGTGTGTGGCTACTAGAAAACTTAAAATGGTATGTGGGTTCACATTATATTTCTACTGGACACTGCCACTCTAATGCAGTATGGTAGTTTCCACAGGGGGATCTCAGGGCTCACGAACTTGGCCTCATCCAGAGCTGATGAACTGAAGACCTGGGAGTAGAAGTACACGCTTTGGGAATCCCTGCTCTGGTGTGTGCCCAGTGACCTCTGATGCACAAGGAAAGAAGTGGTTTGAGGAAAGACTGTGTTGAGTCCTGTCCTTGCCACTCGTCAGCTCTGTGAACTTGGGCCAGTTAGTGAAGCTGTGTCACCCACTTCTAACACTGGAATAGTGGCACAGTGCCACCTTCCCTAGCTATTGCTCAGATTAAATGGGGTGCAGGGTATCTCGAAGACTGAGGGTGCTCACAGGACAGCATGAATCATTTTATTATCATCATCAGGATTCCTCAAACACCGTGTTTCAGGATCCCACAGAATTCAAATCCTTCTCTTTGAAGAACATGAATTAATTATGGCAGGGTTTCTGAGTAAGAAATAACTCAGAGAGGCAACAACACCTGTGAGTTGTTCTCTAGTCGCACACAAAGAGCAAATCCTTTCAAATGGCCCAGTGGCAGTGACAGCTACTATTTCATTTATTCAGCACTTGCTGAACATCCACGGTGTTAGGCACAGGGAGACAGCAGGAAGGAAGTGACAAACTTCAAATCTGCCAAAACTGAATAGGCTGACAAAATAAATACCAAATAATGATTATCATGTAAGCTTTCACTCCTAGAGAAAGGTCTTCCCTCTCTGTCCTCCTCTCTGTATCTAACCCAGTGCTGAGTCCACAGCAGACACCTGTTGTGTGTTAGTTTTCAGGCCTCCCTTCCTTTCAAGGTTAATGGAATTTCTAGAAGTTGGGTGAGAATTACTTTATATATTCTAAACCAACTCTCATATAACTGAAAAATGAGGACTTGAGTTGCAAGGCTAACCAGTCACACAGCAGATTGAACACACAGGACATGGACTCCCAGCATCTTCCTCCCCTAGGTTATGCCTCAGCAGCACCAGAAACAGTGGCAGTCTCATCACTTGACTGTTTTAATGTAAGAGGGGAGCTTGCAGGATAAATGTTAAGAGGCCCTAGGACCTAACAGGGTAGAGCATCATCTCATTGGTATTGTAGGCAACAGTACAGTTGCACGCACATTCTAAAGTGGAGATGTCAACCATTGGAAGATAAAAGCCTGAAATTGTCTCCCTGCCTCCTCTTTTCTTAGAGGCATTTCATTCATTTGGAAACAATCACTTCTTGAAACAATCACTACTACTGTGTGCCCTATCAATGAACAGGTAGTTACACCCCCTGTCGTCATGTAGCTTCCAGAGGCAGAAGGCAGAGCTCCATTCTTTATTAGAATAGCAAAGTCTTTTGCTCTGCAGAAGGTGAAAAAAGGCCATGGAAAATCATAAAGCTGAGAAGGGAACAGGGAATGTAAGAGGGGCTATGATTAAAAAAGAAAGAAAGGTGATGGTAGCACCGAGGAAAGGCCAGAAGGGGTGAGTGCTCCAGGCAGGGACAGAGCCAAGGAGAGCCCGGTTGTTGAAGGACAGTGGAGAGGTTGCTGCCACTGGGAGAGCTGAGGAGGAGCAGTGGACACCATCCGGGGCCTTAGTGACTGTCCAACACCATTTGCTTTGCCAGCCCATGTTTTTAAAAATTTTGTGAGACAGGGTCTCACCATGTAGTTCAACCTGGCCTTGAACTCGCTAAGAAGCCTACAGAGGCCTTGAACTCATGGCAATCCTTCTGCCTCAGCCTCCTGGGGATTACAGGTGTGAGACACCATGCCCAGCTGCCAGCCCATTTTTTACAATATAAATAGCATCACTGGTTTAGAAAAACCATACCTGTCAACAAATCACAACAAAACAAAACAAAACACTCTCTCCCAGCAGGTGAACAGCACCGCGCAATACAAGAAAAGGAAGCCACGTGATTGGGAATTATGAGGTGACATTTAATGAGTTCACTGCCTCAAGAATTTAAATATCACTTACCCAAACGACAGGGTGAACCAAACGATCGTAAGCTTTATTGTATTTTCCCTGACAGGGTAGTTGAAACATCTCTTAAAAGTCAACCAAATCTGTGAAATATCAGAGAGTTAGTTTTCTCACACAGTCAGTCAACCTCATCTCTTCCACCAAATTATAAAAAAGCTGAGTTTTTTGTTGGGCTGAATTCATTTGAATTTAAAATGTTAAAGCTTAAGGCTATAGGGAACCAAATACTGGAATTGTCGCTTTTCAGCTTCTGGGGAGCCCATGGACTTTAGGGTAGCCTGTCATTGCCCCCAATTCCTGGCCTGACACTTTGCTTCCCAAAGATGAGCCGCAGGGACTGGCTGGCCATCCAGAAGGGGCCAACTGCCTGGTCCCACCCTGCGAGCCAGGTGTCCTGGGCAGGGCAGTGAGAGCTCATGGGACGTCACATTCAGTCCCCCTTCTGACTACCCCAAAGTGAAGCTGACACACAGGTCCTGCAGGACCCAGCACTTACTCCATACAGTTCGGTACGGACCCGAACAAAACACCTCTGGTACCAAGTTCCCGTGTCACTCTCGATTTCAATCAACTCATCTATTTGCTTAGGGGTTTTGATTTTGTTCACCTGTAGAAAACAAGATGGTACAAGATACCAAGTTTAAGTTCACAATGTATTGCTAAAAGAGCAAAATCTGACTCCAATAAAAGGTAAGCAATATTTGTTAATCACTCCACACAAATAGAAGGCTGTTGGGATGGGTCTCAGATCCAAACCACAACTACAAGAACTGAATAAAGGATACGTGGTGAGGCATCTGCAGAGATAAAGAGGATGGCAAGTAGTTGGGAGACGGAAATGCCCTACTCCAAATCATCACCACCAAGACACACATTAGAGGGAAAACACACACATGTAGGCCAGCTTTGGGTTTGGAATTATGTTGCCAGGACCAAAGCGACTACGCACATTTTGGGGAACCACTTGGTAAATCTGGCCCCTAACTGTATCTCTGAACACTTTCCCATCCAACTGTTCTTCACAGAGCACCATGATGGCTCTTTCTCCTTCCCCACAGTGGCTGGCCAGCAGGTGCAACCGGAAACAATACTAAAGAAGTGAGTGAGTTTCTTTCCATCACAAGCATCAATGAGGACTCTTTGGTCACATAAGAGACTAAATGATAGTGGTTCATGGTGAAAAGCAGCATCTGGGACTTAAAGGAGCCTCCTTTTGCTAAGGAAATAAACTACAAGGCAGGTGAAACAGTGCTTTCAACACAGAGAACAGAAAGGAAGATGGCTCCTTTGCAGGCTTGGCCAGTCTTCCCTGTTCACGGACACCCACCTGGTTTGAAACAATCTGGGAAGAAATGGGTCCATGTTACCCTTGCTGGGATGTGAGCAGGCTTCTCTGGAGAGGCTGCCCAAATCCCAAACGGCAGCTCTACTGTGAGAATCTAGGTGCCGAAGCTGGCTTCTGACAGACAGGGCATCGGGACCCTTGGAATTTTTCAAACGTAAATCATTTCGGAGTTAAATATGGGATTCCAAACACAGCCGGCTCAGAACATTCTGAGTATTTTATGACACGCAAGTTGTTGTTTTTATCACTAGAGGGTTCTTCTTATTCAACATTTTGCTTTTGAGAAGCTTCCACTTCTGCACTCACTGACATTTGCTTGCTTATTCATTGGTACGCATGGGAAATGCAAACACAGAAATGTCATCCCCTCACGCAGCTATCACACATGAAAACCCTCTCAGGAGGTCTGCATGAGATGGGGGTTGAATCTGACCTGGAGTGAGAGTCAAGGCTTCATGGTCTCAGAATCGGAGCTGAGGCAGGTAGAAGAGTATGTTATCTGCTAAGTGTACAAGCCACCTGGAGGGCACTCCAGGAGGGAGGGGTACAGTACAAACATCCAGAGGTACAGGGAAACTACATACTGGTAACTACTACAAGGAATTTGAGATTCTTGAAAAATAGTGCAAAGTCAGAAGGTAGTGGGTGTTGAAGATTTAACCGAGTCAGGGACAGTCAGGATGGGAAAGAAATAACAGTGATGGCTAATACTTAGGAAAGTAGAATAGTAGCAGGACATGGTCATTTCCTGTCTATAAAAGGATAAAGGAAAGAAATAATAAGATGGTTTTTAGGATTCCAGTTTGGGTGGTGCTGGTGGTACTTGCTGATAGAGTTTAGGACTAGAAGGAGGGCAGGGGGCTTTTAAGGTGAAAGTTGATTTAGAGATATAGCTGTTTGTTTGTTTGTTTGTTTTGGTACTGGGAATCCAACTCAGGACCTTGCATTTGTAAGGTGGTAGCACCACTGAGCTAAATTCCAGGCCCAGAGACACACCTTTTAAAGGGCCATTACATATAGAAGGATGTCCACAGAGCCCTTCCTCATGCACATGTGGAGCTCAGGAAATTTCTGCAGTAGGAGAAAGAGACATAGGAAATAGCTGAGATCAGCTAAAGAGTGTATTGGGTTAAAATAGAAGTTAGCTCAAAATAAAATCTTGGAAAACAACAGCATTTAAAGTAAGAGCAGAACAAGAAGTGCTTAAAAAAAAGACCTATGGATACATATTGAGGACACACTCCTAAGTGAAATGAATAAGTCACATGTGTAAATACCAGTTTCTCTGGTGTGAAAAAATATAATAGTATATAAGATCCTAATGAGATAATTGACAGTGTGAGATAGGAAGAAAAGGGATAAAGGTGTAGGGAAAGTGGGAAGTGTGGGGGAAAGGGAATAAGGGAAAAGAAAAAAATATGAGAAAATGAAAAAATTGAAATAAAGTGTTTGTAAATGGGGAGGGGAGGAGTGGGTGAAGGGAGGGCAGGTACAAGGGGAAAAAATGAGAACCAAGACCTGTCATGTAAGGGTACAAGATCCCAATAATGAATGTAACTGTACTTTATACCTAAAATATACCAATAAACTAAAAAGAAAAAGGGCTTTGGGGAATGCATGAAGCCTCTTCATATTGTATGCATAGCAAGAAAAAAGATAAATTTGTCATGGTAGAACCATGACTTTGGGATGATTTATCCATTCTTTCGGGTGTTCCCACCTTATCCTCCTGTAACTTTTTTTTTTTTTTTTTTTTTTTTTTTTTTTGAGACAGGGTCCCACTATGTAGCCCAGGCTGGCCTGGAACTTGCCCTGATCCTCCTGCCTCAGCGTCGTGAGTGCTGGGATTACAGGCTTGTGCCACCATGCCCAGCCTCTTCCGATTTTTATATTTCGAAGGTTAATACCCTATATACTAATGTTATATAATAACATCAACAAGGATGCGTATGAGTGGACTTGGGGGGGACTCATATCTTCTGGAAGCAAAGGTGGGAAAGCAGGGCAATGAGACCCCTCCAAGATACCCCTTATCAGAAGATCTTCAATAAAGGTTTTGTCCTCAACTGTCTGAGAAGGGTTAAGTGACATCTGGTACTGCACGATGTCTCCAGATTCCTCCAGCTTTATGATCTTTTAATTTAAAAATATTCTTTAATAATGTTAATATTACTGTTCATTAACTAAAGAGAAGGACCTATCCAAGGGCCTCCAGGTCTTTATAGAGAACATCCATTACTGGTCTTTATTTCTCCATTATACTGCGTAGAAAACTGCTAATTGAAAGCCCGTGGGACTGGAGCTATAGCTCAGTGTAGACTACTGCTTAGCACAGGCAAGGTCACGGGTTTGATTGCTAGTACTTAAAAAAATGTAGTAATTTAGATAGAGGCCAGAGGCCAGACTAAAGCCTATCATTACCTTATGAAAAATGTGTTTCTAAATAAAAATGAAATGAATGAATAAGATCACAGGGAGCTACTTAATCAGGTACCTTTCGCACATTTTAACAACTCTAATTGATTTATTTAAGCCACTGAGATCTTACTTAGGTCCCCTTATCTTTGATGCATGTTCTTCTAAATGTATTTTAGGCAAAACAGGGCTTAACTTCTTTTTTTTTTTTTTTTTTTTTTTTTTTTTTTTTTTTGGTACCAGGGATCAAACTTCAGACTTTGTGCATGCAAGGCAGGTGGTGGAACCACTGAGTCATTCTAATTGCTTGACTCCACACATCAAAAGATTGAAAATATTTTTTTTTTTCTGAAAAAGCCATGCATCCGATTTTCATTAATTGGACTGACTTTCCACGTAAAGATTGAACATTGCAGGTAAAGGGAGTAGCACATGGCAGACTGGGTCAAATGACAAGTCCGAGGTACGGAAAGGCCAATGGATCTGCAGAGAGGAACCAAGAAGTAGGCAGGGCCTGGACGGACAGGTCCTTAGCATCTGGATTGAGGATTTTTGTCTTTATCCTGAGAGCACTGTGAGCGTGAGACTAGGACATGTGTTATGTATGTACTCGTTCTTATGCATGCGTGTCCAACAAAATGAGATACATATCATGGAAATAGTTCTGATTCTTTCATACCTAAGTTTATATCAAAGCCACCTTTAGCCAAAACCACCTACTTGTATTATCTTTCTCTGGCTTCCCACCTTCTTAATCAATGACCTAAGGAATAGCCATATAAAAATATTTTCTTTTTTCGTGAGTCTCATTGAAATGAAGATATTATCCATTGTACTGCTAAATGTCTCTTACAATAAGGCCCATTAATAAGCTTTCAATAAATTAGAATTAAAGTCGACTTTTCCTGAAAAACAGATGCATTGCTATTTATTTTATTAGAAATTTTGCAATCCATTAAATTTGTCTTTTGCCATGGTTATCAGAAAACCCAGAGGTTAGTTTTATGCTTGATTCCATGGCTTTGATATTCATATATACAGTAACTGTTTTCTCATTTATTACTGGCTTTTGGTTTTTGAAACCTGAGATAAATAATTTTACAATTTTACTAAGTTCCTCTATGTGTGTGAGGGCCTCGGAATTATGAAGGGTGATTCCTGACATCTCAGACAAAGCTCAACGAGTTTGTCATAGCATCTGTCCTTGGAGGGGAAGTGTCACCTGCAGAATGTCCCTGGAGCCTGGAGTTCCTACTAATGAGTGTGAGCACTTGGTATTATTGTATCTCATGTAAAATACATATAGTTGATTTTAATTCTTGATCCAATTGATTACTTTTACCTTTTAATGGTATTTATACCATTTTCATTTAATACTATTTAATAAACTAATATGTCCACTGTAGCCCTAAGGTTAGTAATTTAAAATTTTCCTTTATTTTTTCTTGCCTTATGCGTGAAATATATTTTTTTCCTGTTCAATTTTTTGA